ATATATGTATGTATATATGTATATGTCTTATTCTAAAATCAACTGGACCCAGCATTTGCTAGCACAAACCGAGGTCCGATCCGAGCCAGGCGGAGAGACGGAACTCTGAGTGCTTCTGCGATTTCGGGGTTCGGGCTTGGGGTTTGGGGTTCAGGGTTTAGGGCGTTTAGGGTCATGATGCTTGATCTTAATGCTGCATTATAATGCTGTGGTATATAAGGAGTACTAGAATCAACGGCTTATGGTTCTGATGATGTTAGTCATGTCGATGGGTATAGTTTAGAATTGTTAAATTAGTCTCGTTCTTCTTCTCCTTGTCGCCTGATGATGTCTGATGTTGTTCTTCTTAGGACAATGCCATGTCATGATCATGTATAGTCTTCCCAAAGCACGCAAGCTGCGTGTTGGTTTCTCCAGGGGATGAGGCTACAGCGGCTACAGCGTTCCGATTTTGCTTTGAAATCATGCATTCATCAGACTGAGCTCTTTTCATGAGGCGGCCTTGAGACCAAGACTTTCGAGTACTCCCGAGTGTATGCCGCAAGTTGAGAGAACTGTGAGTTGATCCTCGATTTGTTGTTCGCCGTCGCAGTGGTGTTTGGTCCTAAAACCTAGGTCTGACACAGAGGGGTCTGACAAGCCGGGCGAAGTAGCTATGTAGGATGAGTTTCCCGAAGCCACCAGCATGTCCAAGCAGCTAGTTACTGGTCATGATGGTTTTTTTTTTTGCGGAGGCCTGCCCATCACCATCTGACGGGCAGCGGAGTGATCAGGGCACAGCGAGTGCAAAACGCTGGGCTGGGTCTTAATTGGGGCTACATGTCCGGGGAGTTTTGCGAAGAAGACATCTGCGATCTTCGATGGTTGAGCCAAGTGCTGAACTTTGGATTTCTGCTGCCAAGCTCCCTGCGTCCAGAGTCCCGTTTGCGGCTCTGGTGCTTCCGATGTTTCCCCCAGTCCTGCTGCTAAAGTTTTATCGCTTCTGCTTTCTGATTGTTGTTCCCACTAGTGTCACTAGTGCGACGAGGACGGCCGACGACGGGGACAACCACGACCGCCAGCACCACCACCAGCACCACGACCGACAACAGCTGATACGACGACGACGACTGGTGCTGCTACTACTGCCGCTGCTGCTGCCACTGCCGGCTGTTTTCACTGCCACTTTGGTACTGCGACACTTTACTAGCAAAGCCAAAAAGACAGCCGCAATTGATGGCTTGACTTCCTTGACAAATTTGTTTTCTGCAAGCCATGCGTCCGCAAAGCACAAAACCATGGTCAACTCAACCTTTTCTGTTAAGCTGTTCTCAGGGCTTTGTAGACGGTGCAGATAGCATCTTTGTAGACAGTGCAGAGAGCATCTTTGTTACACACACACACGCACACCATTGCT